GAAATTCAATTTACAAAATTAATCAGGATGAGTTAGTATAAGTAACTTTTTGCGTACATGTTGCGTTTTTGCAGACATTTACTGTGAAAACTAATATGACATGTGCTAGCAAGTTTGTTATATATGTGATCACATGTTGTGGATGCAACGAGCTCTATATTGGCTGTACAAATAATTTACGGAACAGAATGACCATTCATAGACAACAATTCCGGGATCCTAAAACGAAAATGATTCCGTTGAGTGGACACATTGATGTCTGTGCAAGGGGAATATTCCCAAATTTTATGGTATTTCCATTCTACAAAATGTACAGCCAAGACAGCCTATTAATGGGAATCAAGGAGAAATATTTTATTGAGAAACTAAAGCCTAAATTAAACGGATTAGTTTGATCTTTATGTACATTTTGTTTCTTTTACCATTAGTGTAAATCCATCATATTACTAGTGATATAAAGAGAATATCATGACGCCATATCGTTGTTTATTGTATTGTTACTATGCCTTGAAAATATGAAATTGAAACATGTTGGTAGTTAAAATTAACTATCTTTATCGGCGTTATTGATCTCATTTAACTATATTCTACTTTTGTCAGACTTCTTTTTAGATTTTATGTATATATAAGGGCATATATGTATATACACATGTATGACATGTAATATAAACAAAATGATTGACACCTTATTACGACATTGTACAAGTCCCGAATTTGGTTAAAAAGGGGTGGAGCTTCAAAATGAGTTGGGTGTTGCATACCTGTGCTTCACCTACTTTCCTCTAAAATTTGATTTGGCTTTAATGTTAAGTTATCCAAGTATGCCCAGTATGCTATTTCTTATGTGTTATCCAATACAATGATTGGCTTAGTTACGATGTGCATGGATAACGCCATATTAAAGAAAAATTATATTCATATGATAAATAGTATCTCTTTATAACTATAGCAACTTACTTCTACCGTATAATTCTGACGTCCCCTGTAGATTCAGGATTTGCAGTATAACTGATTCAAAATGAAAACTTTATCTGTGATAGGATATGGAATTTTAGTCTGGTGTATTTACCTGCCAGTTATCAGGAGGTAGGTTTACATTAAATATTTGCGTTAATATTCATTATTGCGTTTAGATCAGTGGTTCCTAACCTATCTTAGCTTTTGCACCTCTGTAGCAATCTATACAACCCCTCGCACCAACAAAGCAATAGTTTTATTTAAGTTAATTATAATTATCATTCATATCATAATACGATGCTCCATAAGAAAGCTTTCTCACTAGAATTAATAATACAAAATTAGGAACGGTTTGTCGATAAAGCAATACCCATATCGCTTCTATACTAATCCTAGCTTTAGGGTTGATGAAATGTCGAGATACTAGACCCATGGAGTTATGAAGGCAATTTGCGGCGTTTCTGGTCCCACTATACTCTACTATTACACTATTACAGAATAGCTTAGCTACAAAATTACCCGTTCGTGAGACTAAGGTACGATTTATCAAAGCCCACCCCCTCCCCCTCCTCTCGCATGTAAACTTTAGGCACATATTATGAATGCTTTCAAGTTGAGCTCGAAGCAGTATCGTTTTCGTTAATTCTTGATATTTAATAAATTTTTTTTTTCAAATTGTTGTCCGAGAACCTAGCATGAACTGCAATTTCGGCATCGCTCAAAACATCATACTCCAACCAGTAGTTGCGTGGCGAAACTCCTTAATTTAAGAATTGGCCATATAATTATAAATTGTTATACGCCCACATGGAAACGTATATTGCCGTCCCTTCAGTTTTCATTAGCCCACATGTTGCAGAAAAGTAGGACGTAAAACTCCATTCATTTCATTTTCCGTTACCCCTGTCCGTCGGTCTGTTCATCTTGTAGGCACGATAGACACTACAGGTTTTATACGATTTTGTTGAAACTTGGTATGCTAGTCTATATCGGATGATCAATTTCGGAGTTATTTCCCTTTACTTAGTAAAAACGACTTGTAGACACGATAGAGACCTTGATATCGGATCTTGATGAAACTTGGTATGTATGTATAATATATTGCTGAGATCTCATTCGAGTTGGTAACAAAAGGATGAAAAATCTGGATAATAAATTGGTAATAATCGGATGAACGGTTTCAGAGTTACTGCCCGTGTGTGTACGTCGATGTTTGAATTTGATAATGATTTGATAAACTGTTTTGCCTTGACTTATAAATATTTGTAAGATTATTTGAATATTCATTATATACATTATCAGACTTCATTTTTTCTGATAGCTGGTAGTGGGCGTATCTTACTTATCTTTATTTCTGTGTTACAGTTTCAGAATTTCAAAATAAATCTGCGTTGTTTTGCAAATGACTATTTTTGTGGGACTTTGTTATCGTAATGTCCCTTCTTCTGTTTTTTTTTTCGAAATTTACACACCTTCCTGAGCCTAGACTGCAGTAGTTGCAGCAACCATTCAACTTCTCTAGACCTCCTGTTGTGGCAACGCGTTCCTTAAATATATATTGGAACATTTTTGCAAAACCAGAAGTGCCACAGTTCAAATTTTGCAATTTTTTTGCAACTTTTTTGTTTTTCCATCGATTGATCTGAAATTTAAAATGCAAAGAGACATCACTAAAGTAAATAACATGTAACTGTCAAATATTTATATTTACTTCCGGTTGTAAACGGGGAATCAATTGAAAGTACAATCCACTTCCGGTCGAATAACTTCCGGTGTAATTGAAATAGGTCAACGAAATTTATGCTGATCGTAAGTAAATGCTATTACAAAAAAACGAAGAAAAAAATAAATGCATACCGGAAGTGATACTTCAACCGCCATATTGAAAAAACACACTTTTGTTAAACTCAAAGTGGGGCCTCAGGGTGAATGTTGATATGCTCAAATTTGATATGTATGTATTATGCAATCGATTGCGCAAAAAACATTGCGAGCCGAATTTTGAATTTCGCTTTTGCTTTTTTTCAACTTCCGGTTGAAATTTTTTCAAACTTTAAACGCTCATACCACGTGACCTTGACCTTTGATGACCTTGACCTTTTTACGGTCAAAGGTCATTGACCTTGGCTATCAGTTGAAACTTCGACATTTGACCTCCGATATGTACTTCCGGTTTTATAGTTGTCCGAAAACAGGCAAATTCGCAACTTTGGACTGCTCTAGCACGTGACCTAAACTTTTCATGCGCTTTACATTGATATATAACAATCGTTTTTTTTTAAGCAAAATTGAAATTAGTGATTTTTTCAAATTTGAGATTTTAAAAAAAATATATATGTGTTTCTTTGAGCTTTGTGTATGTATATCTTATGATCTATTTGATGTAGAACCTTGAAATTCGGAATACAACGAGACACTTTGAATATAAATTCACCTATGACAAAAAAGTTGAGGTGGACGTGGCACATCCGGGTTGAAGTACTAATTGTTTACATTTAGGGGCAGGGGCATAACTCGCATAGTATACGTTTGTTCAAAAAGGAACTTTGCACACAATTCCCTCGTGCTTTTGGCTAGTTTGTGTGAACAGCTCATTTTTTTCAGCTATATAGTTCGAAAAAAGGAACGGGTTTTAACATTTGGATATTTTCATTTTTAGATTTTGACCTTTTTTTGACTTTTGTTTACCTATATCTTTTGACCTGCATGATGTAGAAGCTTGAAATTTGGTACACGACATAATATCAATTAATTTATGTCAAATAAATGAAATGGGCGTGGCACATCTGGGTAAATTACTCATTATTGACATTTTTGGCCAGGAGCATAACTCGCAAAGTATACATTTGGTCAAAATGGAACTTGGCATACAATTACTTCATGTTTTCAGCCACTTTGTCGTTTCCGCTTCATAGTTCAAAAAAGGGAACAGGTTTTGGAAATTCAAAATTTTCAATTTTTGACCGTGGCCTTTGTTGACCTTGACCTTTGTAGGATCAAACGTCATTGGCATTGGCTATCTATTTATACTTTTATATTTGCTGTCCTATGTCCACTTCCGGTTTTATAGCCGTGTGTAATTTGAAACTTTGATGACTTATATCTCTTGATCTTGAACTTTTTAGA